AAGGGGTTGCCACACAATGGAAAAATAAATATAGTTTAGCTACATTGGTAGATGATTAAGGGATTTGTCACCGTAAATACAACAGCTCTATGCAATATTTGATATAAACTATTTTTCTATTTACAAAGGCTTGATATAACAACGTAAAAGTAAATACATTTGAGAAATATGTGTAATACCACAGATAAGTAAAGGGATTAATCACACCAACATTCTTTTGCTGTATCTGCCCTTGGACATACATGTATTCCAAATATCAACTTAAAATTACAGAATGCAGCTACACTAGCAGATGATTAACAGGAATAATTTTAAAATTTTTATTTTTGCTCTGTCTATCTGTCCATACTGGTATTCTTATTAAAAATAAATTAATATACATACATGTAAGCTACAAATAATTAGCTACATCAACTAGAGAAAAGACTGGTGGTGGGTCACCGACTGTTGGGCCATGCCAGGCTGGTGACATGGCAGTTGCTCCTGAGACAATTACTACGGCTTTATTCCATCAAGGTACAGGGTTATGGTTGGGAAGAGGGTTATATCGTAGAGTGTTGGGTCTAGGGCTGAAGTTAGGAATTACTTGTACCAGTAGATGAGTTGCAGGAGCAAGTATCCTACAATCGATCACGACTGTCAGACTCTGGCAAGGCACTTGACAAAAAAGAGGGCATATTGGCCCAATGACAAGAGTGCCATGCCAGGCCTAGCTGAAATAGGGTGTGTCTGTCTCTCAAGAATATGATTTATTTTTTCTCAACATCATTTGATTTTTTTTTCCTACCCAAAACTGTACAAAGCAGGAATATACAACAAGGTCTTATTTACAAAGGGTGTTTCTCTTCCCGTCTTCCTAGACAAAAAGCCACTCTTTGCTGTGAATGCAGCTACCGTACATGTACAGGTGAATAGTGTCACACACTTTTCTTCAAACAAGTCATACAAGAATCACCTTGACTTCTTAATAAAAACTTGCTCTTTTTGACCAAAGTCCAAAAACCAGCTGGAAGTACATTGAAACTAAGTTTTTTTTTCCCTTCAAATTCATACATATTGTTAAAATGAAGCCTTCAATGATACTGCTAGAGTACCGGTACTATATCCTTAATCTGAATACCATATTGTGGTCATTTTAAATGGAAATACAACATGTTTAGCGCTAATGGTATAATGGCATCAATGGATATTGAACGCATCTAGGACAATAATTCATTCCAAATGATATTACACACTTCAGTGACACATGTAACAACAATCAAAAGAATAACACGTCTCTAGACACTATATCGTCCTTGTTTTCACGAAGTGACGGTAGTGAGGAAAATCGTAACGCAAAGTGAATGCAATTTTTTTTCACTACCGTCACCTCGTGAAAACAGCGACGATATTTGTAAACTTTATGCTGTTGATGTATTGTCTGTTTAGAGCCAGAATATGATGTCTGTGATACTGATAAAAGATGTGAGTTAATGCCCTTCTGGCTCATTAAACAAACAATACATTGATGTTGTATTGTAGAAATGTAAGCATTTCCAAAACAACATCAATATTTCCAATACAATGCACTTTCTCACTAAAAAGTGCAATGCTAAAATTTTCCATGAATTTCCTGGACCATGGATATTATGTCTCTCTGACCTTTTCGTAAACACTCCAAGAGCATGTCAATGCACTAGCCACCACCAGACAAATATGCTGGATTACAAATGACCCCACAAATGTACAGTACAAACATAGTAGACAAGAACTAAAAAAGAAATCTGTAATTCCTATTGCATAGTACAAAAGGAAAAGATATTAAAACAGTACTACAATATTAGACGGACACAAAATATCTAGGTTATCAATCTTACTTACCGGAAAATATTCAACATAGCTGGATTGTTGTTATCGTCAGATTTAAAAGAAGTGAAAATGAAGCATTTAGTTGATCAATACACAGCAAGCTCTGAAACTATCAACAGATGTTGTCTGTACTGTAGTACAATCCGTCTGTATATAGTACATTCCGTATGTGACAAAATTTGATACTTATTGATCTACAGAGTCTACATGCGTGTAGTGTTGTGCTAGACTAATTACAAGGTCTAACCTTTTGTTTTTGATCGGTAAACTCCAAGCCACAATTGTCCGGTATGTATGTGGATACCTGGTTAATTATTAACTTGAATAATAAACAGGTTGGTTGTCTCATTTGCCAGTGAAGTGTCATAAACTCATTACTGCATGCTTCTGATAATAGATGCTTTGAAGCTAAGTGCATTGGGAATAATTTATTACTTTTTATCAACTCTTATGGCAATGGTTGGCTTTTAACCCCACCCTCTCTTTACCAGACTCTTCTACATGTATTTTTATCTCCTCTTTTCTTTTCCTTTTCTTTCCACATCTCATCTCCCATCTGATTTCCCATTTGATATCAAGCAATCCTTCTTCTTCTTATTTTTTAAAATACATTTTTCAGTTTATGAATTATTAATTTGGTGAATCTGAATTTATCCTCTGTTGGGGCTTGGGCTTAAACTTGCTAATGTGGTTTTGTGTTACATACATTATGTATGTACATTGTATGTATTTCATTTCCTTCTGACTCTCCTCTCTCCCTCGATCTCCTTCTCCACAATTTCCATGCTCCCTCTTCTATATAAGATCTCTCTTTTACCCCCCCCCCCCTCTTAATCTCTCTCTCTCTCTCTCTCTTTCTCTCTCTCTCTCCCTCTTTCTCTCTCTCTCTCTCTCTCGTCTCTCTCCCTTTCATTCCTCTTCTCTCTCTCTCTCTCTCTCTCTCTTTCTCACCCTCTCATCTCCTCTCTCCCTTTCTCTCACATCCCCCCTCTCTCTCTCTTTTGTCCCCTTCCCATCTACATGTATAGTCTCTCTCACTATGACATTGCTACAATATACATGTACGTCACCAATTAAGAAGACCAAACAAAATAACAATGTAATAGACATTAGACAAACACAGTGCCCTGTGTGTTAGACCTCACAGGGCCTACTATACAGTAAGTTAAGTATTCTGAAAAGCTCAATTTAAAGTCAATTAAGAAATCAGTCTTCTGACAAGTCACTTCATACAGTAAAGCGGTCTCATAATAATTATCATGACAACTGCAGTAGAAACAGCATGGCAGGGGTAGGCAGTGGATTTGTACTTCAGGTTTTATAATGAGGCTTACAATAAAACTCTACAGAAGCTACAAATGGATTTGTAAAAGCTCTATTAGCTAGATCTATTAGTACTTTGTTGATTCATGAAAGAAAGAACGATCATGGCAATTTTTTTGTGGCCTCCACTTAGCCCTTTAATTGTAATACCACTGAGATATTTTAACCACAATTTGTTTCACGTTTAACTAGAACAGGATGATTTTAGAGAATGTATTTTAGGTCATGGATATCCTTCGCCTTTTTAGATTCAATCAGCAGTTATTTGTTATTTTTTGTAATATATCAAACATATCCTGCAAAGTATGTGATCTCACTAAAAACTATGAGTTGGTTAAAAAGCAGATTTCATATTTCATAGACACTGTACCTGGTTTAACATATATTGCATTCAGATACATTGGCAGAGGCAGGTAATAAATTAATTAAGTATGCTTATATCGGATTGCAAAGCAGATACATGTAGTTAAGCCCTATAATCGACCATTATCATACAGCCCAAGAAATCTGTGATTGAATTGTGTCACACACAGCTGACATACAATACATGACAAGCTCAATACCATGCACTATTCATAATAGAAACACAAATTTGTACCTTTTGTATGAGTGCACGCAAGCCCATAGAAATGTCAGCCCTGGGGAAAAGGGAGACCACAAAAGAAAAATCAATATTCTGAGCACACATTCAAGCTGGCAAAATAGAGAGGAAATGTTGTCTTAATAGCTACTGTGTAAATACTGTACATAGTATGTTCCTTCGGGACATATCTATGAGGGAATTTTAGTTGAAATACAATTTTTTTCAAACCTGCATATATTATGCTGGGAGCCAGAAGGGCATTAACTCTGTGTTAAAGGGATAGTTGAGTTCTGAAGGCATTTGCGGTCTGAAACAAGAACTCAACTAATCTCTTTAAAGTATTATAAGCAGACAGTACATGTCTCTTTTGGAAGATATCGACCTGAAAAATATCAGGTGACCATGAAATACAATTCTTTTGAAACCTGAGTGCACCATATTTCAATTTAGTTTGAGAACACGCCTGATATATACAATGTATATAGAACTATATTTACAAGGATAGGAAAGTGTTGTCACCCATCATATCGAAGGGAGCGCTAGAGCATATAAACCTGACATTTCAGTATTTCACTTTAGAAAAGGGAGATATTTATTTATAGTAACTTGATATGTAGTTTCAGTACTGCTTTCTAATTACATAGATTTTAAAAATAGAATATCAATGCAGCCTCCTTTTTTTTTTCTTTTTCGTTATGGCTTTTGTTTTGCATGTACTTTTTATTCATTTTGTTTACATTGTATTTTTTATTGCTGTCTCAATTTCTAACTCATTTCTTCTTATCATTATTTTTTTGTTTTTGTTTTGTAACTTTGTGAAATCAGTAAAATACACAATGGAAAAAAGGAAGGGAAAGGAGTCTGTCTACACATACATGTAGGAAGTTTATGTGTTGTGACATATGAAATATATCTTGAAATTTGAATCTAAGATACTTTGAAGTTTGAAACAAATGAAAAGCAAACAAATTGTATTAAAAGTGTACCAAAAAAGTTTAAACATTCACTTTGAAACAGAGATTGAAGTTGATCACAGCCATTGACACAGATTGAAAGAAAGGAGAGACGATAGTGATATGTATTTTGTCATCAAATCAGTGAAATCAAAATTTAACCAAAATTAGAAACAAAGTGAAAGTCAAAGAAAAGAAAAGAGGACAAGTCATTTAAAAATGGGAGAGGATTGAAGGGCTTAAAGTAGAAAATCCAATCAAGGATAATTAAAACAAAAAAATTGATGATTTACCACTTCAGTGTCGCTGGTACAAGAAATATCATCAATGATGAAAATGGAGTCATCTGCAGACTACAGCTACAGTCGCAGCGGAGAGATGGGACCCTAGCTACATATATCCAGCCCGTAGGCTCGGCTCGGTCGCAAGGCTGCAATGACCTCCTCCTTCAGCAGATAAGTTTGGACAGAAAGAGGTTGTTTTATTCCGTATGATTAAACGCAAACATTAGCCACATCTCGGTATCGACAAAAATATTTCGCTCAATAAAACAGTCAGAGTTGAAAACGTGACATCAAGGAGAATACTGAAACTAAGCTTCGTTTCGTCAGAGTGGTGTCATCAATGTTAACGGTGTTCAAGTTCTCTCATACTACTACGCGGAGCTGGAGAGGAGCGCTAACTGCTCGGCTCGCCCGGACTTCCCGGGGTCCTCGAGCCTCACGGTCACGGACGACACTCAGGGGGCGGCCCTAGGCCCTAGGCCCTCTGTGTGGAGTTCAGCTAGAGAGCTTAATCTTCAAGGAGGGCTTAATCAAGTCACTAAGTACGAAATGCATGAGTAGCAACACTGTCTGTTATGGGGCTTTCACATATACACTTCGGGGCCCGTACGGCGAGTAAAAACAGACATTTTGGGAATTTTCGGCCGGTGTCCGGCCGGCTACCGTAAAGATCCTACGGGCGCCGGGACAGTTTTTGAAGCCGTACGGGCGCCGTGGTGCTGAGTCGGCTGCTCCCAATTCTCCCGGCGTTTCTATCCGACCGTTAGGTCGTAGAGAGCCCGTGAAGGGCCCGCAGGGCACCTTACGGGTCCCGGCGGGCTCCGGACGGTGTCCGGACGGGCCCCTCACGATTTTTGGGGGTCAATTCTCATGAAAAATCTTAACGGGAACCTTGAGGTGCGGATTTCAGAGGACACATAGTTCAGTGCACCGCACGGGACCCGGCCGGGCGCCTTAAGGACCCCGGCCGGTTCCCGGCAGGGCACCTTGAGGACCCCGGCCGGGTCCCGGCAGGGCACCTTCCGGGAGCCACGGGTGCACCTGCTCATCGGACGGAGCACGTAAGCTTACCGGCCGGCATCCTTACGGGCGCCTTGCATTTCACTCGACCAATTTTCACCGGGCACCTCCCGGGCGCCGCAGAATATGTGACCACACATGCCGTAGAAAAGAAAATCGGAAGGTTCCCGTACGGTCTCTAAATCCACGGCATGCCGCCGGGTAGGGAAAATCGTACGGGGCCCGGTTTATATGTGACCTAGGCATTACGAACACCCTTCCGTATTCATTTATAGAGCTTATCAAATCATAATGATATTGTGGTAGCTTTATAACTTTGAACTTTGAAAATTTTGTTTTGTTTGCTTGTCAGAGTATTTAGTGAAAAGGCACTGACAAATTTCTGATGACCTTTTTCTTTTACTTGATTGTTTATTCGCCAAGCTTCCAACATACAACAATATACAAGAATAACAGATCAAAATTAAGTCAGCTTGAACAGAATAACCCACAAAAGCTCAAAAAAAAGAAAAGAAAGGAATAATATAGTCTTGAGGACAGTACCCTTCTCCATAGTTTTGTATTTTTATGGTAAGAGGGGATATTAATGATTTTAAAGATCGTTAGGTGGTATTATGAAAACTGTGTTACATCTTGTGATGCAGGGGCAGGCGCGTACGCAGGATTTTTTCAAGGGGGGGGGGGGTTTAACATTTTTAAATCGGGCCGAAAATTTCGCATCGACTCAGCCAGCCGCTGAATAAGCGGGGGGGGGGGGGGTAAGAGGACACTTTTTTTCTGTTTTTTGGTCTCGAAATTTGAAAAATTGACATTTTGCTCCGTTGGGGGGGGGGGGGGAAGGTCACCTTTTTTAGGTCAGCCATGGGAATAATTTTATTTTTTTTATTTTTTATTATTAAAAAAAAAGAAAAAAAGAAAAAGAAAAAAAAAAACCAAAGGGGGGGGGGGGGGGGGGTTTCGTTTTTTTTAGGGGGTTTATACACATAAAAATACCAAAAGGGGGGGGGTTAAACCCCCCAAACACCCCCCCCCCCCTGCGTACGCGCCTGTGCAGGGGTGGGCGAGTACTGACAAGCCTAAGTGAAAGGGGAAAAATTCACGAGGGGAGGGGGGGGGGGGGCAGGTCACATCTTTTGCTCATCATGCTCGAAGATCAATATCCCAGTTTCAAAGTTTTGCAATTTCACTTGATATGTAAGGATTACAAATAGATCACCTTAATTGCTACATTCATCTGAATTAAATATGAAGTGTTGATTACCAAAATAAAGGTGATTTCAAAATTACAGGGGCTACAGTGAGCACCACCTCCCATCCTACATGCCTCAGTGGGGAAGAGTCTGTCAGACATCTGACAACCCTACCAAACTGAGCAAAGGCCCTTATATTTTTTAGGTTTCCTCTTTAATGTCTAAAATTTTTGACTAGCAATGAAAAAAAGAGATTAACATGGTTTCCACAACATTTTCCTAAGCCTTGATTGGGTCTAAGACTGTCCTAGGGGCATCAGAACACAATTTTTTTTTTTTTTTTTTTTTTTTTTTTTGGGGGGGGGGGGGGAGGCACATTCTTTTTATTTTGTTTCTTTACTTAAAGCCTCACTGTCCTACTTGTAGCTACTTGCTCCCTCTATATAGAAAACTTCCCCAATCGGTGCCTGTTGGTCCCCCATGATCTGCCTTTTCTTATGTTAGTTGAGAGCTGAGTTAATGAGATAGCCACCTGTCAGTGACCTTGCTGTGTGGTCTAATCCCTTCTGGCCCAGTAGTATTGACGGTCTTTAAGGTATGCCTAAACTTTTCTGTGTGTGCTATAGTGCTTCTCTCAACCCCTGCCCCCTCAACGTTCTATTTCTGATTAAAATTGTCATCAAATGCACAGAATAAACCTTCATCTTCATTGGTGCTTTGTGCATATATCTATCTCTCAATTTCAATTTCAATTTTCGAAATAACATTTCTTTTCTTTCATACTTTAACAAAATAATATTAATATAACAAATGAATACATTATTTTTAATGACATAAATGATTTTGAAGAAGGTATACATCCCATTGAGCATTATGTGTCGGGTGTATCTGCATAAAACAATACTCTATCAATATAACAATGTCGAGGTAAGAATAGATAAAGTATAGAGAAGGTGGAAAGGGGAAATGAGGAGGAAAGTATGCTGGGGGGGGGGGCAGGGCCGCAGGGGGAATTGTTATGGTGTATAAGCCCCGTAAGAGCTGGCAGCTACATGTATGCCCAGACATTAACAAATGGCTTACCCTAATTAAGATGTTTTAATAATAAATGTAATTAATCATTGTATTATGCTTTCAAAATAGGCCATCACTTTTGCCTTTGGATTTTATGAAGTGTATTCATCAAATAGCACTAACCATCATTAACAAAGGTCTTAAAAGATTTCTGAAACACTGCATGTAGGTTAAACTTCTCCCAATTACCATTTTAAATCAACTGTCCGGATAGACAAATTGTCCAGGACAAGGCATAACTTAGAGAATACCCAGCCGCCGCCCCCCCCCCCCCCCTCCTCCCTCTCTATCTCTCTCTCTCTCTCTCTCTCTCTCTTTACTTAAAAGGCTAAAATCTTTCATGGTCCCAAGAGTTCATGGTAGTATTATTTTATTTTTTTTAATCAAGATTTTGCAAATTGTCTTCGGACCGTCCATTTTAAAAATAAGATTTGAAACGGACGAATGAAATAAAATCTAGATCTACTCTTCTTTTCACCGTAACATACGAATGCCGAGTGTACTACAGAAGTACATGACAATGACACATCTCTGCATAAATAAGGCCTTTGATTTACGGTATCATTTACGTGGCCGTAGTGGTTGGTAAACCGAATTTTCAATCATGGTGACACTTGTTCGCACAGATTTTCCTACTTTAAGGACAATATTTTGTATAGCAGGAATACTTCTGTCATTTTATGCACTTTATGTCGAGCTCAGCAAAGAACATAACCCTGATTTTCAGGCGATGTGTGATTTAAGCGGGACCATCAGTTGTTCAAAGGTGTTCACTTCCAAGTAAGTTGCTTCGGCCCCATGCATTGGGTTCCATGTCATACAATTTATATAATAAATGTCTATTTTTTTTCTTCTGTCTCTCACTCACTGATGACCTTTCAGAATTATTGAATTTGTTCATTTGAACCCGCAGTATATACATGAAGATTTTGATGGCAATCAGTCTAGTATTAGACTATACTCTACAATTTAATATTTAGTACAAAGAGGACTGTACTCCATGATGATGATGGAAGAAGAAAAAGAAGAAGAGGAAATTTCAAGCTCAAGTGAGAAATGGTCAAGACACTAGACAGATGATTAATGTTCAAGACGAGCTGCCAGATCTGTCAAACTACCGTAACACCTAAAGAATTGGAGACCTGATCAAACAACTCAGGCCTTCTCTGCAAATTAGAAGAGAGCATTCAAGACTTGCTCTCTTTTAGTTCTACAAAATCCGCAACGAGACTTTTAACTTTGGCATCACAGACCTCATCATACAAGATCATCAAGGACAGCTCTTTCACATGGCCTATGGGTACCAACTCCCCACTTTCTCCACTGAGCAGCACATGAAGTCTTTCTTCCCCAGTACATTTCAAACTTGGAACTCTCTCTCTTTCATTTTTTGTAATTTCTTCTACTTACAGATATGGAAAGGGCTTTGGAATTATTGGACAGATTTTGGGAGAGGATAACATTCTCAATCAGCCCAACTCCATTTATGGTATAATCTTCTTTTGTCTTCAAATCGCTTTGGGTAAGTTCAAATGCTTCTTTTCTTTAGCACCCATTTAATCCATACAGTGTCACTTAGCTCAGAAATAGGTATCACAAATTTAAATTTTGGTGATTCAATTTTTTTAAAACCATAGTGCCTTTTCTATTGGGTTGTGCGACACATGCTCTGGCACCAATTGCTCTGCATCAAGTTTTGAAACTAACCAAAATCTAAATGTCAACCCTAGATCAAACACTACACCTAAACCTAAAATCCAATTGTAACAGTTTCCTTTATCTTTGACAGAATAAAGCCTGACACAATCATTGCCAGAGTATACAGAGCACCTTTTATTGTTAATATTGCTGTTGCTATCCAACTTTTCCTTTACTCTTTGCTTGCTTTGGTCAAGTATTTGTACACACTTTACAATGCCCCAGTCGACTCTTGTCACACATATATGTATCATATAATGTGGCAGTCTCTGATTTTGATCCATAGTAAATTAACAGGGAACTTAATTTTTAGATAAAGGACTAGGTTTTTTTTTGTCCAAAATCACCATTGTTATACAATGTACGATATCACATTTTGAGCAGTTCATATTGCCTATGGCTCTATGAGGATTAGAGAAGGCCACATCTGTTCCGTTGTTTAACAGGAATATGTTATAAAGGAGGCTAAATTTAAATATATTTAGTGAGATATTGCTTCAGCCTGTATCTTTTAAGTACAATGTAGGAGGCCAGATCAATCACGATAATTGTGATACAATCTGATATCCAATTCAAGGGGACAAATTATCTTTTTCTCCTTCTTATGAAACATAAAGGGGTAAATAATTTGACTTTAGACAAGTTTTATCAGACAATTTAAATTAATCATTAACCTTTGACCTTAAAACACTCTTGTCTGTGATGAGAAACACCTCTCTCAGTTAAAGGTACAAAGTCCACAGAAGTGGTGTGATTAAGAAGTCTGTTGTTAGCAACCTCTGTCATTGGATAATTTTTTACTAATAAGAAAGATATATGAAAACCAGGAAGTAAATTTTGAAACATCAAATTCTTGTCAAAATCATTTAAAGTACACTGTACCCTAGTACAGAGTAAACAAATCATATACACCTGTACAGTGTTGGTCTTAAAAAAAAAAACCTAATCCTGGTTGTTGATTGTGATAGTCGTTGGTACAAGTACAAGTATATGAGTGATCACTGCCAAATTTTAACATCAAATTGGCAGTGTATGATGTTAGTGTCAACAGAAGTAGCACTCTCTCATTATGTTCGAAAGAAATAAATAATTGAAGTTGGTTCTTAGTTGTTTTTTAACGATGCATTCATAATTCATATGCCTTCTCATGATTATAAATTGACATTGTACCTTGTTGACTTTGAGAACACGTTTGTCTTTGATAAAATGAAATGAACACTAAAACAATTTTCTGTATTTTCATACCACAACAGCGATGGTCTTCAGTTACTCAGCGTCCATTCTCCTTCTATTAACATCAGTAGTATCTGTCATTGGTTGCTTCTACCTTGCGTATATACTCATGTTCGTTCTGGAGGATGCTTGCCTTGTCTGTATATCAACGTACGTCGTGAATGCCGCCCTCTTTTTCATCAATTTAATCCGGTGGAATTCGGAAAGGAGAGAAAGAAAGTATACAAGGAAGTCCAAATCGGATTGATGCCAAAATCAGTTCTTGAGTTTTATTTGTAAATGTTTTTATTGCAATTTATGGGTAAGGGGTATGTGTTACGAAAGATTCTTGTTGTAAAATGTGGTATGGTATTGAGATCTTTGCCAAGCAAATTTTAGATGAATCATTGAATGTCAGGCATTCTACTCTTTGAAAACTTATTCAGGGACAGAAACTTGAGACAATTGGGATTGGTTATATTATGACTGGGAGAAAAAAAACAATGAACTTTCGTGTATGGTAACTTGAAGGAATTGAAAGCATGGTAATTAGTTATGCCTGTACACAAACCATGTTATTCATTGTATCCCAATGTTTTTATCAATTAAGGCAAACTGAAATTGAACATCGAAATAAAGACTTAACAGTACATCCCGAGAATACAGATACAGGCTCAATGTATTAAGTGTACCAATCATCTTAAAAAAACAATTTTCTACATGAAATCAGCCTTTATAAAAAGCTCTGCCTGGCGCTCGATAGTGAATGGTTAAGAAATGTGAGAAGACAAAAAAGGATGACATAAAACTGTGTGTATAAAACCACCGCTATTCTATGCGAGCGCGTACGTGTGCATCTTCTAGTCAACTCGAGTCATTTTACTGTTTACTGAGAGTATATTTAAACTGAAATATCTCTTTGAAGAAGTAATATTTGAAGCTCATACGTTTAATATTATATAGCCGCATGGAAGATGGAACCCCTTACATCAAGAACAAAACATGTGCTGGTGATTTGTACACTTTAGCAAACGCCAATTCAGCTTTAAATAATAGAGAATCATGATATAGGTCTGCCGTCATTAAGCTTTGAAGTTGGATTTGATTGAAGATAAGTTTGGCTGAGCTTTGTGAACTATGGATTAGTGTTTTGAAGAGTTAACACTGAAACTCTGAGCCAAATCTTTTACCATTAGCTGTCTAAATTGTTTTAAGCAAATGAAATACTTTGCCTGAGTAGCACGTTTGAACTTTCATGAACTCAAAGAGAAAAACTTTATTTATTTTAATTCAATTTTTTTTCTTTAATTTTGAAGTGATATTTTCAGTTTTGTTAAAGGACAAATTCAAAGGCTCTTAGGGTTTCCCTCAAAGGGTTCTCATAACCTACTTAAAAGTAAATATTACTTAATTCCTGTATCCTTACATTCCTTATATCATACATGTACCTGTAAGTATGTAACTGTCTTTTAAAATAGACATTAAAGTTGTAATGAATATATCTTATCAGAGTTATATAGGTGTGCGCAAGCACCGGTGTATATTGCAGTAAAACTGAAGTAGAAATTTGTTTAATCAGTGGTTCATTCTAAGGAAGATATACAAATGACAATGTAGTTTCTCAGACAAGAAACTAGTCAGAACTTTATAGATGGAAGAGAGGAGGTCTGTTATGAATACAGAATGTTGCAGTTCTTGAAGTTGTAATCATTTGAAAAGCTGAAAACATGATTTAATTGAAATATAGGAGGTCTGCTTTGTCCTACATCTCAAAAGTACCATACAAATTGCAAATTGATATTGATTAGAGTGTTGTACACATAAAATCATCATTGTGTCAATAAAGTTTATATCTTCTCAAAACTTTATCGATCAATCTCTCTATTGACTCTTTAGATTGGTCAATAATGTTCTGAGAAGATATATAATTAATTTTTCATGAATTGACCAAATTTTCACAATCATTTTATGAGAAGAGTTACCGTAAGACAAAATTATTCTAACTTTATGGGGCAACAGTGTGTTGAATAATTCTGAATTTAATTTTTGAAAACAAAACACAATTAAAGCTTTTTCTGATCTTGGAGAAGGACTAATTTAGATAATTTGATTAATCATATACCGTTAAAAACTAAATGATTCATACCTCTTGTAAATGTCATGTTTTTTCTGTTTTTCTTCAAAAACTCAAGAATGAAAGATGGGCTGGTTGAAATAGCTCATTTGTTGAATACTTTGAGATGTATGTAAACTTGAATATGTCACATTCTCAAGAATCATAAGTCTTGACAAATATTTGTTGTCACATATTTTAAAAAAATACATAAGTTGGTAAGGGTATAAATAATTTAGTTGTTAACTGTAGGTTCTATGAATTCACGGTTGTTAATCGAGAGAAAAACATGTTTTCTAGTCTCACCTGTCACATTTAAGCCTATGGTAACATATATGTGCAATGGATCTATTCAAGTATTTATAGTGATTTTAGAAATCAACATATTTCGCAATATATCCTGTATAATTTTAGACACCTCAAAGGTTTTTATTATTATTATTATAGTTTTCCCTTTTGTTTTCTTTTGATAGCACACATCACTATGTTCCTTTTACTTTGTACAACATTCTGAAATTCCTCCAGTTGGCCACAAATGAATTTTTCAATAAATTTTTACTACTAGACTTTGTAAGGGGAAATTTAATCTTTTATTTTCTAAATTTGTTTTCCTCAAACTTATGATTTTTAAACATTTACTTTATAAAGTCCAGAGAGTTCCGCGGAACAGCATTCTATTTCACAGTCCAGTACAATATATCACGTTTGCATGAAAGTACCATGTTTGTATTTTCTTTTAGTCTTCAAGTGTGTGAAAAGCACAGGATAAACTCCAACCTACATGTACTGTATTGTGGGCATGATGATACATTGATGCCTTTGATGGCACAAAAGTGACAGTTCTTAATTGCAGGAACTAAATTGTGATAATACCTGCTACATGCATTTATCAGAAATTGACATTCCAATCGATTATGGAAATTGTGAATTGTGGTGCATTCCAACTAAAACAAATTTTAAAAAAATATATATTTACACATGTCAGGCTTGATAAAAACCCGATTTAAATCGGTTTCCTGATTTTTTTTTCTTCCCGATTTAAAAAAAAAAAAAAAAAAAAAAAATCATTTAAATTTTTTTTTTTTCCTTCCCTATTTTATCCTGATTTTCCCGATTTCCCTCTTATTATCTCTATTCTTCCCTATTTTTTCCCAATTTTGTCTCAATTTTCTTACTCGAAAGGGGGAAATGTTGTTATATGCCATTTTTTCCCCGCGAATCGTATTATTTTTTTTTACTCAAGGGGGGCGTGGTTGAGGGGAAAACAAAAAACCTATTTTTTTTTTAGTGCTCACTATCACCCTGACATGTTCTTGCTAATGGGAGAAAGCTTAGCATTAAACTTGTCATAATCTACAAATATCATTCTTTTGCAAATGTTTCACTCATTCATTTCTTGTTTCCATCCTGCCTTCAATATTTGGACCGATTTCTAATAAAATTCATAATTTCAGTGTACTGGTAGATGCCAGTACCTACATGTATGTCTTGTATATGGGGGGCACTAAAACATGTCCCCCAATTTTGTTTTTGTTTTTTTTGTTACTGGATTATATTCTCTGCCAATGTAGAGAGCCATTGACACCACAAAATCTCAATTTCCATGCTTCTTATGTTCTTTTAGTGCATTGTTGAAAATGTCTTGCCTTATGTCAAAAAAGGGGCTAATTATTTTGTTGCCGCAAAGATGTAATACAATGTGACTTCAAATGTACAAATGAATTACTTAATCGTAAGATATGTGTAGTAGCCACTGTAGAGTACCTATCTAGAATATATTTTCAACAGTCAAATTTGCATATTTATTTCTGTTGCTCTTTTTGTTGATTAACTTGATTGTTTTTCTTATATCTTTCTGATGTAAACGTGAAATAACTGTATGCCGTAACAATGATCTGTTTTGTACATGAACACGAAATATTGTGGAGCAAGTATTATCAAATGAAAATTCCAGAATAAAGTTGCAACTGATGTTGTTGATGTTTGATAATCCAACATGGTTTGCTCTGATGCTGCTGAAATTAGTGGTATCGATCATATTTGAATGTAAAACGCAATGATATGAAGCCAAAGAAAACTTGTCAAATTGTCATGTCAGCTGTAATCGAGTGACTATTATACGTATCAGGCATTAGGCTTAAATTTAGACCAAGTGGATATTAGCCCAAATGATCATTAGCTGAACTGGCAGGTGAACGAAGTGAAAAATCAGATAAAATTTTACATCATAAAGAGTAGAATATACTTGGGTAACCTTCAGCATCATTCAAATTTCGTAAAGCTATTTGCTTTCTGTTTGACTCTCATTGAAACGTACATGTATGTTATGGGAACAGTAATTAGTCTTTTCCATTGAAGTGGGTTGAATAATTGTTAAGAGAAGGAATCCATTGTCTCCCATGGAAGAAATTTATATTAAATGTTATCAAAGTTCCTAACATTCATGTTGTTATCTGCAACTGTACTTTGTTGCGAGAAGAGTGATGAGAGTAGCGAATGTATGAAATGTGAAAATATTGGGGAGAGGGTGATAGAAGAGAGAGAGAGAGATGGGAGGGGGAGGCAGATGGAGGAAGAGAGAGAGGGGGGAGAAAGAGACATTTGGTTTATTACAACTAAACCACATGAAATTAATAAAACATAAATTTGTTGCAAAAGGAAAATCACTGAGAGATGGTAAAATTGATAGCAAGAGAAAAGTTAAATCCCCCCTCTCAAACACTCAATTATTTTTCTCTTCCCTCCCCACTTTCTGTCTGGAGCACTGAAGTTATCTCCTACCCCCACCCCCCCCCCCTCTCTCTCTCTCTCCCCACCTCACCCCATCCTTCTCTCTCTCTCTCTCTCTCTCCCATCTTTCACACATCTTTTGCCTTTTCCATCCCTATTGGCCCATCTCTTCCCTACGGCCTCACTGTCTTTGTTACTGTTCCTCATTACTTGTACATAACTGGTCTCTTCATATCTGCATACCTCATTGAGATTTATAGATTCTAATAATCACACAAAAGTATTCAATGCAACCAAAACGAGTTATACAGTGAAACCTTATTATAAAGAGCACTGACATAACAAGTTATCTGTCGTAACAGGGTGATTTTGCTGGTCATAACTCTTTACATATATAGATATGTTTTTTACCTTGATATAACAAGATTCCTCATATAGCAAGGTAATTTTCATGATCCCAAGGACCTTGTTATAACCAGTTTCCACTGTATTACCAATAATGACAAAGCAACACAAACAATAGTTGGATATGATATTCAAATCTATTTATTTTGAAATGGAATCATCACTCCATATAGTTTTTGCATACACTGAGCAACACACACCACTATAATATATCCACATATCGTTTAATCTTCAAGAACAGTTTCTCCAGGCAAAGTTAATCCCTGGTCAACTTTAAATACAGATATACAATGTAGCAAAACACCTTTAACCCTGACTTGTAAAGTTGTGCTTTCAGAAAAAGAAGAAAAATGCCAGTAAATTGTACAGCTAAAACAAAGTAAGAGAGGTGAAGTCTTCATTGAACCGTTTGGTGAAAACTATTCACCGCTTTGTGAATAAAATATGACATGAATATATATATACACTGGTTCCAAATACCACTGATTAAAAGAAAATGTACACACACTGATATACCTTGCATACCTAATCAGGCAAATATGTTATTTTTCACTGTATCACCTGCTAGGAGCCAAAAGGACTCTAACAAAGGAATAACACCCTTCTGTCTCTCAACAGGCCATATTTGAAATGCATTTGGGAAGAGAGCAAGTAACATTTTATTTCTGCAGATACATGTGCTACGATATCATAGTTGAAGAAACACCCATGTCACAATTTGGTTTCAGTTTATTTTGGAGAACCAGTCTGAGTCCTGCAGCTAAAAAGAAAATGGATAACCCACATGACAAAACAGTCATAGAGAAAAGCACCTAAAAGAATGCCCCAAAATATAAGACATTGGAAGTAATATCAAACAAAGTAACAGATATAGATATGGTCATAACACAAAAATGGAAGTTTGGAATGAATTACAGATCATGATACTTGGAAATAAATGTACCATTGTTTAAAACTTTATCAAGTTCTGTTATCTAGCACGTTTACAGAATAATCATCAATCACCTTTTAAAACTTTATCGTCTTCTTTGAGTATATCTCTAAAGTCATTATGAGCTCGTAGAAAATAAACATGCCATATTTGCTTATTTGTTTTCATATGTTCTTCGCCATTCAGCAGGCCAATTGTTGTATAGATATATGATAAATCAACTCATCATATGCTTTCAGGTTAACGATCATTTATCACAACATATAAATATGAATACACAATATACTCAAAATATTTTTGTCAAACTATCATACATTAATAAAAATCACTTTAGTCATGGAGATATATTAGTGATAATGTGATGTGCTTTTTAAAGTGCAATAATATCTATTAATAAATTTAACAATTGGTATCATAATAGTTATGCAGTGATTGCATTATGTTCAGATGTGTACATAATTAAAAGATATATACCACACTTAGCATTCAGATGTATACATCCGAGTCAGTAGTAACTATTTAAATAGGAATTATAATAAATTAGTTGGAAAGACATAGGAACATTGGAATAATATGAATTTGCTTTGTACGTTAATGTGTGATATCATACACTAAAGGAATCCGTTGGAAGGGCTAAAAAAAGAAAAGAATTTAAGTCAATTTCAGCCATAGAACTTTGTCAAATAATCAATTATAATAAATGGAAACTTAATAAGTATTACAGGTAACATGAATTTACATATTGAAACAGATGACAATGTACAGAGGTTCAATTTTCAAAGAGAACAAGCAGACCACAGCTTTAAAGCTTCATATCTATTTTTTTCCTCTTCTATATCTCTGTTTATATCACTGTCAAAATGACTAAAAGTGCTTTAAATTACACAAATTTGTTTTCATATCTCAGCCAATTCAACCGAGAGGAAGATATGCTAAAGATCAGCTAGTGCATAAACTTATCAAGAGCCGGCAGTGACTTCAGACAACTGGAACACAAAAATCTGAAGCATACAACTAATTTGTTAGCGCCCAGTTTTTACATCAATAGAGAAAGGAGAGAGAGAGAGAGAGAGAGAGAGAAAGTGAGACAGAGAGAGAGACAGTGAGTGAGAGAGAGAGAGAGAGTGAGAGAGAGAGAGAGAGAGATGGAGATGCAACATCCATCGCTTGCACATCATAAAATGGAAACAGAACACATTTTAATACAAGGCCATAACTGTGATGCTAATGTCAGAAAACGTCACCAAAAATTGGACAAAGTCTGCCCTCTGTTGTCGGTGAATGGAATACACTTGCAATATTTGCATAGGAATTTTTCAATTCATTAAGAATCTATGTCACACACAGATAAAAAGCAACCATCTTCTTCAATCTACAAGCTTTCGAACCACAGAAAGTTTGGAACACACATTATACATAGGCAGACAGTTGATTCAGTATGCAAGTGCAATGCAATGCTTTAGAAGAAATATTGCTTTTTACCACAAAACAAGATTTATATCGTTGCCAGCAATGTTTCAATGATAAAGATTTGGAAGCTGAAATAAAATTGTTGCTTAACTGTTGAATAAAGCTGTGTTCAATAGTTTGTGATAACAGATGAAGTGCGCAGCCTCAAATACTACCTTAAACATTGAAATGTTTCATCAAAATTGTCACTGCCAATAATTTAAATAATGTATACTACAATCAAACCAGCTTTAGCAATAACCTGTATAGATCGACAACCTACGTATCAATACCACCTGTCTATAAAGACCACATTATTTCTTTTTCCCTTGAACAGTGTTTCTCGCAGAAGTCTGCATTAGGGAACCTGACAAAGAAACCTGTATAAAAAGACCTCTTACCGTAAAGACTGCTTTTTTTTCTTCTACCCTAAGCAGTCTCTACATGCATAATTATTGTATAAACCTCTGATCCAACAAATGTTTATGTTGGAGTCGAGGTTCTTATCTAGAGACTGACATAACGAACCCCAAGAGAAAAATGCCATACACTACACATCAGAATTTTGTTATTTTTAGGACCAAATAGTCGTGTTGCACAGACATTGGTAACAGTGGAATCAAATTAATTGCATTTAATCATAATAAAAAAGTACAGGTATGGATTTTGACATGAGAAGGAATGTGTTGCTTGCCACAATGTATTTGTCACAAAATGGAATCACATCAACTAATATCTTAACAGAAAGGGAATGCAAATATCTTAAAAGTGGAATGATAAAAAGAACCCTGGAAAATATCTGGAAGATATCTGGCATTTGGTAAGACATTTAAAATAATGTTTAAAAGGAGATGTTTCCTACCTCAAACTTATAATGCGTCTCAATTGACAGGAGTATGAAGATAACTTTGCATGTTGAATAAAGAAGCTTTTATATTCAATGCTGCTTGGCCCCGTAACATAAAACTTAATAGCAATTGATTGTACAATTGCTTTTTGCGATTGATTGCATTGATCACAATGTGCCATCAATCACAAAAATCAATTATGCGATCAACTGCTAAGTTTTGTGGTACGGGACCTTGGAATGCTGCTAAAAAGAAGAGGCTTTTAAAAAATTCAAATAATATTTGGCATCACAACACACCGGAGTAATACTTGAAATATAAATAAATACTGAATAAACTCAAACAAACACAAAATAAGTACAAATCCTAACATTCATAACTATGATTATAATGAATAAAATACATACCATATAATAGGAAAAATAAAAATAAAAATATGCCAGCAAACTTAATGCACACTTTAAAGGTGACAATTAAATAAACAATATTTTTTCACAAAAAGCCTTTTGCTGGAAATCCCTGTGCAGCAAATAAATAAACAAACATGAAAATTGAATACTACTACTTTCAATTTTTTCATTGGTGATGGGCTAAATAGGTATGCTATGCAGACTCAAAATCCATCTAAAAGTCTATGAATACGACGTAACCTTTCGGTCTTCTAAACTACACATACAGCAACCATTGCAATAGACTTCAGCCTTATAGTTATATGTTGTGCAAGTAAAAAGAAATACACTAACAAGGGCTGCACAATTATGCATTTTCTGCTATTCAGCTGTAATATTGCCAATTTGGCAATTATCGTCATCCCCATAAAAATACCATTTTCTGTTCCTGTAAAGGAAACATTAGCTACAGCTTGTTTGCTCGCTTACCCAGCACTGATATAAAAACACTACTTCTTTTGAATGAAAAAAATGGATAAAAGACTTGCGTTATGCAGGACATAATTAATGGAATCGCCTTATTTTCAAAATGTTGTGCCATATAATATTGAGATTCAATCAGAGATTTCTTCTGGTGTTAACAAGCCCATCAGGACAAGTTTTTATCCTCATCATTCACCCTATTCTAAATGATACCCATCTGAGTTATATCGTGAAATCATTTAGGGAAATCATTTAGAAAGTTGTTATAACTTCTACTGAACAAAAAGAACATTGTGTTCATTGCAAATTTGTTAAGCTGCTTTCTTATACCCGATTCAAATTAATACCAGCAGATCTGAAAGTTTGAGTTGTAAATAAATGTGATGACATATCAAACTAAATTCACAAATTTTCTCCATAGCATTGTTTAAAAAATGGAATGGAATATTATTGACTTGCAAATATTTGGTCAAAAAAACAATGTAGAATATTGAAAAAGTGACACTTTCTATAATGCTGTGTTGACATCATGAACTTAATCGACTGGTGATCCTTTGTGATTCAGCAGGACTTTGTCTCGAAGTTGTTGTAGAATTCTGTGACACTGTCCTGACAGACTGGCGATCCTTTCTTCCACAGCAAGAATACGTCCCAAAGTGATTGTACAATGCTGTGACACTGTCATAGACTGGTGATCCTTTCTTCCACAGCAAGAATACGTCCCAAAGTGATTGTACAATGCTGTGACACTGTCATAGACTGGTGATCCTTTCTTCCACAGCAAGACTACATCACAAGGTGCTTGAATAATGCTGTAACATGGCACTGTCATGACAGACTGGTGATCCTTTCACCTACAGCGAGACTATGTCTCAAAATGCTTGTATAGCGCTGTGACGTAGGTCATGACAGATTTCCAGTCTGGTCTTTCCAATCTCACCATGTCATCAATGTCCTGCCAGAGAAAGAAGAAACACATCATTACATAAACTTACAATTCAAATTTCATCTACACTTTTTTTGTACCTGATAATCTGTCTATTGGCTAGATATCTTTGTCAATACTTTTTAAATTTCCAAATTTATTTGGACAGGTCATGAGATTATAAAGTAACTGTTATTATCCCTAAATGCATGAACATTTATATACCTCTTAAATGAATCTATGCATGCTAGATAAAATCCATAAGTACTCTCTCTAAATGAGTATGAAATAATAGAAAATACTCCTTTTTCATAATCTTTATGTCTCTTTATCTTGAGCGCCACCTCAAGAAATACAATTTATTTATGAGACACCTTAATTTGTATTTCTTATACAGTCAAACCTGTCTCAGTGGCCACCTCTCTATACAGGCCACCTGTCTGTATTGGCCATGCATTTTATCTCCCTTAAGAGAGAGACATGTGTTGTGGAACCTCTATAGAAAGGCCACCTGCCTACAGTGCCACTGTTTCTGTTTTTCAATGCGTGGCCTTAATAGACAGGTTCGACTCTACAAAGGAATGGAGTATATGTCCCATAGTACAGAACATGCCTAGTTTCTCACTTAAAAGATTCATATATTTCTATTTTGTTTACATTTAAACTTTTACTCCTCCATTTCTTTCATGGTTTGTTTTCATCAAAGAAGTATTCTGTCAGGGTCAGATCAGTTTGCCCTTCAGTATCACTAGGCCTGTCCTCATCAGCTTGAGTTTGCCGAATCACCCACTATTTTAACTATCCCGAATCACAAATTAACCAGTTAATTTGCGCCCTCATCAGCCCGCAATTACAATTAGCGGGATATTTGGTCGAGAAAATATCCTAAGAAATCTTGTTTCCAAAATACCCCGCTATTTGGGAAATAGCAGGTTAATTTGCGCACGTCCGTGCTACTTTGTGATGAGCGAATCAGTCTGGTTAAGACGCAATTTCGAGCTTCGGGATGATATCCCAAGTCTGAAAATAGCGGGTTATTTGGCAAACTCGAGCTGATGAAGACAGGCCTACTCATGGACTTTTGGCTGTGTATCTACATCAAGAGGCAAAGGCAAACACATCATCCCCAACCCCAATAGCCTTGACAAGCACTACATCTTACCAAAATGGATGATATCTCTATCGACTCTCCTGCTACGAAGGCCACAGTAAAGTTCCTTTTCTGGAAGGAGAAAAATGATGATAAAACTATTATTTGCATGAAAGAAGGGAAATATAACTCTGATATTCCAATCAGGGAGGTGTTTCACAAAGATCCCAAGTCAAACTTAACTCCAAGTTCGACTTAAACATTATGGAGAGCCATTTGTAGCCTTAAAATAAAATATATTAAAAAGCAAATATAAATTCCACATCAAGAACATGAAATCTTCTTGATAATAGAAAATATGAATGATTTGAATCAACACTTGATGCCTTTTAAAATAACTTTTACAAAATATTTTCAATGATGCAAACGGCTTTCCATAATTGTTAAGTCCAACTTAGAGATAAGTTCAAATTAAGATCTTTGTGAAACACCCCCCTAATGTGATTAAAATGCACATTGCAGGAACCCTGGGATAAAGATATCTCATCAACGCTCAATTCTGAAGGACTGCTGGGACAGAAATAGGCATGCACATTCCCAAATTTTGAGCTTCTCCTTCCTTAAAGCCCGTCTGAACTAGTTTGGCCAGAAGGGATTAGACCTCTCTGCAAGGTCAGTGATAGGTGGTTATCTCATCAAATTAGCTCTCACTTAACATAAGAAAAAAAAGATCATGGGGGACCAATGGTCACTGATTAGTCATTGTTCGCTATATAGAGGGTGCTAGTTGCTATAAGTAGTGCGATGGGGCTTTAAGATTCTTATCTAAATTTTTCAGACAAGAACAGGAGCATTGGAAAGCATTTAGAGAATGATAAAATCAAATGATGGATAGTTGAAAGCTAGTGGAGAACATATCTGCAAGAAATCTGCAATACATTTCAACGACAAAAAGTATCTATGAAGGACATTTGTAACAGAAATAAACATGAACATTCCTTAATATCTCTGAGCTCTAGCTTCCATGCCATTGCATAGATCTACATTAGGGTGCGTTCAATCAACACTTTTTCACCCAAGAAACACAATTTTCAAAGACGTTGAGTTTATAACACAGTTGAAACGGTTGAAAGCGTTTTTTAACAGCATTTTGATTTGTGATTCATGTTTGTGACTCTAGCTTTTAAAAATTGTTTGAACGCACCCCTACAATACATTATCCGAAAAGGAATGCAGCTGGGAGGTAACAGAGATGGAAGTTATCAAGGAAAGAGATTGATATCTCAAGGAGGAACAGGAAGATGAGGGGATAGAGAGAGGAGGTGCAGCCCTTAGGGATTACAACAAGGTCATTAGACTGAATCATAGAGAACATTCTCATCTGAGGTGACTTTGCATTCAGTCTACTAGAAATTGCTACATGTAATAAGAGGCGTATCTAGATTTTGAAACGAGGGATGGGGAATCCTTCTTGCATGGGGGCGGGGAGGGGGGAGGGGGGGAGGGGGGGGGGGGGTTGTACTGTCTGGACAGTCCCACACTCTGTAGCCCATTGCAAATTGTAGTATATTTTTGTTCCTGGGTGAATAAGTTTTCATACTTTGTATTCGCACCCTCAATGTGCCCCCACCCAAATAATGTATTAAACCATGCACCAAACACAAACATTTACACCCTGGATGCATTTGGGGGGGGGGGGGGAATTCGGCATGTAGATTGTATTCATATTTACCCAAGGACCTCATAGGTTTCAAATTGTGCTTAATGCTACGGTCACAAAGGTTTGTACGGGGGAATTCGGCATGTAGATTGTATTCATATTTACCCAAGGACCTCATAGGTTTCAAATTGTGCTTAATGCTACGGTCACAAAGGTTCGTACGAACGAAATTTCGTACAAATCTCTGTTTTTCCATTGTCTTCCGGAATTTGCATTGTCTGAAAATCGTTCGTACGGCGTTCGTAGCAGTTCGTAATGGCATTTATGACCGAGGCTTTAATTAGTACTGGTGCTATCTCCCTACTACCCAAGATCTGTCTACAGATAAATTTTCAATAAGGGGATCGGAAGTTGGGGGGGGGGGGGGGGGGGAGATCATTTACAGAGAAAAACAGTTTCAAGATGTCTGGGCTGAGATAATAGAGTGTTCAGTACTCTGTATCCATAGCATGCTTGGGTGCCAGTGCCTTACGGATTATGTGACTAAAAATGTGTGAAATCTGTGGATTTGCAGACATCCTTTAAATGGCCTCTAACCGGTGAGCATGAAATCAGGCTGAAATAAGCTTATCCTGATTATGGTCTGGAGAGGGCAATTGTAGCTGCTAATAAGGTTATCTACTTGACTCTGTACTGAGGACCCTAGAGATCACACTGAAACGAATCTTGGCAAGTGCAAAAATTGTAGATTGGAAACAATAATGATGTGTATTGCATTTTTAGCAGTGTGCAGGGATGCCAGATAGAATCGACCAGAGGACCTGAAACTATGGCCAGGAAATAAATCGTCAAGGCCTAAATTCAGGCTTTTGCCTGAAAACTGGCATCTCTAAGTATGAACTACAATGGAAAACAATGATAACCAGTCATCATGATTAAAATTGAAATTTGCATTTTTACTATTCTTACTACTTTTAAGTACTATTTGAGTAGGAAAACTGCTTGTAACAGATGACCACTTGTTTCATTTAACAACAAAAAATGAAATGAAAACTTTTTAACTTATGCAGAAACACAACCAATCTCTCATTGAAAGGGAAATATATGCAGGAGCAGAGACTGAGTGATGTTGATCTGTAAAGCTCCAAAGATCTTCATTTGAAAATAAGAAAAAATATTCTTGGAAGGAAATCTCCCTTTCACAATAGCATTACTAAAGAGCGCTAATCAACAGAAACTAAGTCTATTACCGGTTCAGTTCCCCTTCAAAGTTTTGGATTGACCGCAAGCTCAAATGACAATTCGAATATGGGTATAAATAGTCTTTACTGAAACGGGAGTGTCGTGGTCGAGTGGTTTAAGGCGCTTAACTGGAGATGCGAAGGTCGAGGGTTCGAATCCCGACACGGCACTAATAATATCCTTTGGCAAGATATTTACCTGCACTTGCTACTCTCCACCCAGGTGTCAAATGGGTACAGGTAGGAAGAAATTCCTTGAATGCTTGAGCACCTTTTAATGGTAGCTCAGTTAAAGCCGGAGTAATAATATGATTGCAGGGCCCTCAGAGAGAACCGTATGAATACTGATGAGGCTACCCTGGGTAAACAAGACACATTATTATTATGATTATTTACCTTGTCTTGATTATTGAGTTCATTCCAGGGTATCATCTCAGGCATGTAGCTGTGTATGATAGCACAGAAAGCAAGACCATCGTTCCAACTGCTACTGAAGTTCGTCACTTCAACACCCTATGGGGGGAGGGGGGGGGGGGGGGGAGAGAAAAAATTTGGGATACTTCAATCAAGCTTCTTGAGGAGTATTAGTTCATATATCTGTTTTATTTCATTGTTCTATCTTACTTCTGTTCCTTGTTTATAATGCAGATGTTTTTTTTTATCATGTGATCTCTTTCTTTTTGTCCACAAGTGTGCATTGAGCATTTTATTTCAAGTGGAATTGGCAACTCACAAATCTCATATACTACTCTCATTATTATTATCATCATCATCATCATCATATATCAAATAGAGTATGTAGAGGTGTTAGGGTCGAGTGGATCACAAGATCCGCGGTTCGAATCCCGCCGCAGCACTAATGTCCTTTGGCAAGACATTGATCTACATTCACCCCACTCGACCCAGGTGAGGTAAATGGGGACCTGGCAAGAATTAATTCCTTGAAATGCTAGAGCGTTGTAATGGCAGCCATGCTAAAGCCAGGGTAAAAATCATGAGTGGTAGTTCCAGGGGCAAGTCGTCTTGATATCATCCAAACAATTTAATCAACTTACCTTATAGCCATGTGTCCTAGCCTGGCACCATTTGAGTAAGGCATTTCTCTTGGAACCACCTCCTTCATATTTGACTAGCATAGACAAAGGGTCTACTCCCTCCCTGCAGAAAAGAACATCAAAATATAAACTTGAGGGTTCGGTGACACAAAGACGTAAATCCATTTTTTGCCAAAATGAGTATTTGATATAAAAATGTTCAGAAAAAGGTGGGCTTTCCAGAAAACACAAAGACTTAACTCCATCCAACACCCCATTGAAGTCAATGGCTAGTGAAACATAGACTTAACTCCTTAAGGCCCAAGTGCTCAGTGACACATAAACCACTTTTTCTCGAAATGGAGTTATGTCTTTGTGTCACTGACCCCTCGATATCAATTGTTTGAGTCAGGAGGGGAAATAGATCATAGTTACATGTGAATTTACTAGAACAATTCACAAACTTTTAAAGTGTATCACCAACATTAGGCTCAAAGAACTATTGAAAATTAACACAAAGCTCAAAATGAAAATAAAAGTGGTAGGTGAATAATAGTGATTGACTTTGCCTATGTTTTGAATTTATTTATTGCAACATCACTTTGTACTATCTTTTGAAGATTTTTTTTTTTTTCCTTTCTGACAATTTAGCAATTTACTGAACTCTGAGTAAGACAACTCACATTCATTTCGAGGAAGGGATGATAGATGTATAGGTTGAAATGATGCAAAAACTACTATATCAATTGCAAACAGATCTAGTACTGTGATTCTGCCAATACAACTATAAAATAAACCTACGTTGTCTTCCTGGCAGTTGGTGACTGGTTTCCTACTGAGTCTCTAGGTGTGGGTGAATCACAGGAGTCCCTCAACGATGACGACGACGATGACCTGCGCCCCGACGAGATGGGTTCGTTGCAAAGAGATTTAGCCCTTCTCGCGGTTGGCGACTCACTGGTGTCTCTACCGCTGGGTGTTGAGCGTCTGGTCGAGAAGTCTCTACTCCTGGTAAGGGCATCTCCAATCATCTGCCGTGCTTCGTTGCGATTCGACGGTTGGGACCTGGAGCGCCCAATCATGCTGTCATCGATGGCCCGACCGGAGGTAGACATTGACAGCTTCTGAGCGTCGTGGGTGGTGATGATGGTCGTGGTAGCTCTTCTGGTGTATAGAGGTTTAGAGTTCATACTCTTGGTTATTGCTATGGTGGTGTTCCGCCTCTCCATTGGAGGCCTGGTGTTGCTGGTGAAGTTCATGGGGACAGGGGAGGTCCCTGTGGGACTCGTAGGAGCCTTAGGTGCATCTGCACCAGCATTGTTCTCCAGGCTCTTGATGATATTCTTCACCGAGACTTTCCCGTTACTGAGTGTTTTACGAGAAGTGCTACCACGGACAATGTCCTTCTCTGAGGATTTCATGATGGCCTGCATCCTCTGGCGGATCTCATTCTCTGTAGGAGTGCTGCGGGGAGGGGCTGGAGAAGTCGGGGTAGGGGGTTTAAGCGTCCTTTCAATCTTACGCAGCCTCTCCACTTCAGCGGACAGGCTTTTGATCTGGTCATGAAGCTCCCCTTTGTCCTTCTCTAGCATTTTGACCTCGTTTTGAGCTTCGTTGCGGTAATCGTTGGCAATCACCACAGCCTTCTGCAGATCCCGCTGGAACTGCACCCATTCTTCTGAATCGCGGGCACTTGTACGCTTCAGGTCGATCAGATCCCTACCCATATTTTGCTTCTCTTCCCGCAGGGTCTGCACTGCCTGGTTAAGGTCAGCAATAGTGCTCAGATGCTGTTGCTTATCGTATTCTTGCCGCTCTACAGTCTCCTCCAACTCTATCACCGTTTCCTTGAGATTAATCAATTCCGTTTCCAGTTCTGCTTTCTCGGTGTCGAGCTCGCGAATCATGACCTGATACCTCTCAACCTGTTCTTCAAAATGATTCTTACTGGATTCAAACTCATCCTCTATCCTCTCCAACTCTTCCTGGAGTTTCTCTGCATGGTTATTGCTTTCTTCCAAGGCACGTGCAAGCTCCTCACACCTCGATTCTGCTGTGTCCGTTTTCAGTCTTCCATCTTCCAACAACTGGGGAAGGTCCAAGATCCCCTTAGGGTCCGAGTACCGAAACAGCTGATTTATTTTGTCCTTTTCAGCCCTCAAAAGGGTTTCGCCCTTCTCACGCTCAACTTCCAAACTGGACAACTTGCCCTTAAAAACAGTTATCTCTTGTTCTAGAGATTTCCTTGCAGCGAGAGCACCTCTAAGCATGCCCTCCATCTCCAGGAGTTGGTACTTGAGCTTATCGACTTCTGACTGAATCTCACTATTGTGTTCCTTTAAAAGAATTGTCAGCTTCTCCTGCTCTTCTTTACTTCTGGCCATTCCTGAAGCCTGGTCTGACACAGCAGTTCTTGGAGAAGAGTCGTTTAATTCCTCCAAATTATAATCTATTTTTTGCTCATCACATATACCTTTGAAATGCTGTACAACCATATTCATTTTCTCTGTTTTGGACATTTGCCTATAGAGGGCTTCAATGATCATTGACTTCTCCTCACTGAGTTTATCTGTGTCTAAGGTGAGGTCTGTCACCTGATCCTGAAGGTCTTTGAGTTCTTGAAGCGTTGCTTGCAACTCCTCATTGACAGTGTAATGGTTTTCCTCCATCTGAAGGATCCTGTCATGCAGGTTTGCCATCGATCCTTCCCCATCGCTGCTCAGAATATCCCAATTGCCATCAGACATGTTCGATGGCTCATCCGGAAGAACCACCGAACCATCTGATGAGGACGACGGAAAGCCAGGTAGGACTAGCTCTCCGGTGTGGTCAGCTATTATGTAAGATGAATCCCTCGTGGATGATTCCTCCACGGCTTCCGCCGCGCCACCTTGCACACGCTCCTCCAGACCAGAGTTCCCGTCCAGCCCCAGGAGAATGGCCTTCTCGCTGTCCGTCTTGGAGACCTGCGTGTCTGAATCGATGGTCTTCATGCGGTCTTTGAGGACACGGTTCTCATGGCGTAGGATCTCCATCTGTTGCCTCATGAAGTGGTTCTCCTGCTGGGTCTGCTGGAGTAGTTCCTGGATCTCATTCCAGCCCTGCTGGTTGGCATCGTTCTTCAACGGTGCCTGAGTCATTGTGGATGATGGCGTATTCTGCATCGAAGCCAATGTTGAGAATTCCTCTGCAGAATGTAAAGGCCTTTGATTGAAGACTCTTGTCAAGTCTTTTCTCAAGCTATAGCTGCATCTTTAACATCTGCTATGCATGTCTTCAGATGTCCTGCAAAAGAGAAAAAAGATAGCAAATCCATAAATACAAGGAATTTCACAATCTATCCAAAAAAAATCGAGTCTAAGAAGAAGTATACAGCTTTAAAAAAACATGTGTATTCCTACCAAAATACCAAATGTTAATAAGAACAACAGTAAAGCAGAAGAGAATAGAGTAACAAATGAAGTTTTAGAATTCATTCACTCGTATCATCTACACACTTCTTGAGTATAAGACAAAAAAAGTTGAATATGAACTTCAAGATGGAATTACCTCCATATTACATTATCGAACTGCAATTACTTTCAATTCACAAAACTCAAAAGGGATTCAGAAACACTGTCCCACATACATGGATTTCTGGCAAAATTACAGCAAACTACCAAACTCCTAGTATTAAGTCCACGTGTATCTCTTTGCCTTTCTTCAACCCCCATGCCAATGTTTAATGCATGATTCCTATTCACAGCAGGAAAAAGCAAAATGGGGCATTGTTCGGGATCCCAAGAGTAAAAATATTATTCTTATTGAAAGTTGCAATTCACATTGGAAGCTTGTCATTTTGATAAGCTCTGTAGGGGAGGGGGCATACAAGTTGTAAAGGAGAATAGTCGCAAGACGCTAAGGAAGAGCAATTTCTTTAATAGTGAAATTGAGTCTCTTCTGTTTGAGTACCGGTACCACACACATAGCCAACTTAACCCTTGTAAGACCCTTGGGTACATGATGATCTCGTGTGTTTTTAGCCACAGGGGCGTTAACTCTGTGTTAAGGTGAATGAGTGAACGCCCTTCTGGCTCCAAACAGAGGATACAATGTAAATGATACAACATTCCTAGGCATGAATGTTAGTCATCCCAAAGTATAAATGTCCTCCAGCAAGTTCAGCGGTGCGTGGTCATTTTTTCTAGGAATAGAATTTCAGGGTGTCAATATTCATCTCAGTTCTTCAATCTGAGAAGTAACCAAGTAATTTCAAGTGTGTTTCAATAAGATTGGGGTATTGCCTTGGAGTACAGGACTGAGTAGATAATCTTTCAAGAACATCTATCACAAACAATGAGTTGGACAATCCTTTGCAAATGTGAAAGACAAATTTCTCACAATCATACTTGTAAGAGAGGGGAAATGGTGCAAATAATTACGGTAAGTTATAGGCCATTTTCGTAATCAAATTTCATGCATAAATCTTTGTTAAGAGCCATGTTACAAATGATTGTATTTCAAATGTGAATTGCACATGTTACATGTTGTGAGGTAGGACAAGCCATATCGTTAGATACATGTATGAGGCACTTTTCAACAAAGATTTGTGCATTCACTTTTATTACATTAAGAAAATGGCCTATTTTAGTCTGTGGTATCAATTGGATTATAATATTATTCCAATAGTTTGGTATATAAAAATTGCTTGTTACAGAGTTTTAAGTTCCTGTTACAATAATTTTCAACTAATGTGGGGGAATGCAATATCTGATTTTCTTGTAAATAGGGCAGTGTCTTACTTATGATATTGAAAAATATAAAACTTATGGAATGCGACCATGTGGCAGGAAAAATAACAGAAATAGACAGATTCCTCATAAAGCTGTATACTCCCTGGGATGCAATCAATTAACTCAATAAATGAAAAATTTAATCCGATTCTAATAATATGAGCAATAAAAAGGGTGGAGTATCCAAGTCTGAAGGGGAAAAGCTCTTTCGTTATGAACCCTCCCCAAAGGAGTAAGGTCTTCTAATCTAGTTTCAATTCTATCTTGAAGCTTCGATAGTCTCCAAGCAATCACTGAATGAGCATAACAAACGTGTTCATCATGATGCACTTTCGCAATACATTGAATTAATTTCGCTCAAATTTAGCACCCTAAATACATACTCTTTATTGTAAATTCATTCAAATTCATGAGCATGAGATTTGAACAAATGTATTTAGAAAATGGCTATGTTTTTTTATTCCTAAAACAGAAATACAATCTACCAGTAGGTGCATGTACTTAAGATGTTAATTTCCAATTGTGAATTCATAGCAATTGTTCTAATATTTGGTGGTACAGAAGGGAATATGGTTATATTCAAAGAGGAAACATTCCTGTAGAGCCATAGAAATATTGAATTTTTAAGAAGCTGAGACAACGCTCCTGTTTCCTGGTTCACAGACCCACAGAATTGTGCATGGAAATCAAAAGCACAAAATGGATACTTAAAGTTCAATTTCTGAACTATTCACATCTTTAAATCATAACCATGACTCCTACAGACTCTCAGAATAAAATTTGTAATCGTCAAGTATTATGATAGCTAACGACGTTGATTTCACGCCTGTCTCATGCAATCTCTGCCGTAACATTTGACAGAAGCCCTCATTTCACCTGTTAACTACACGCAGACACTCACATCCTTAGGTTCAGGATTTACGGAAAGGTTAACTAATTCCCCAGGAGATGTCTTAATTTAGGCAGATTCCTCAATGTTCTGCAGAGATGTAGTTCAATCAGCAGGCAGCCATGTACTGTAACTAAAGATTAACAGATGAAAAGAGAGAGAGAGAGAGAGAGACTAGAGAGAGATAGAGATAACAAGAAAGAGAGAGAGAGAGAGGGGGGGGGGGGAAGAGGGGAGAAAATGAGACAGGATGAGGAATAGGGAGGGAGAGAGAGAGAGATAGGAATAGGGAGAGAGAGAGAGAGAGAGAGAGAGAGAACAAGAAAGGATGAGAGAGAGAAGAAAGAGAGAGAGAGTGAGAGAAGGGGGGGGGGGGACAAAGAGGAAGAGAGGGTGAGGGAAAGTGGGGAGAAAATGAGAGAGGATGAAAGAGGAAGAGGAAGAGAGATATATAGGAATAGAGAGAGAGAGTGAGAAAGAGGGAGTGAGAAAGAGGGAGAGAGAAAAAGGGAAAGAAGCAGAGAGAGAGAGAGAGAGAGAAATAATGAGATGGCAGAGAAAATATGAACAGGAGCTGTGACCTCACATGCTCTTCCAACTTACTCTGGAAAATCTAATATTGTAAGAGGTCTAATTTTTGTTCTGGTTTTTTTTTTTTAAAGACAGGAAATATATGGCAAAGAAATTTCACTTCTTACATGAGTAGCTTGCAAATTCAAAAATCCTCTCCTGAAAAATAGTTCCTATTTTACACTAGGAGACTGTGAGAGAGTGAAAGAGAGAGCAATGATGAGAGGTGAGGAAATAAAACTGAAATGAAAATGAGGGGAGGTACAAAAATATAGCCCAACAAGATAGAAACAAATAATAAAAGTATTGGACAGAAAAAAAAACAAAGAGAGACAAAATGTACACCAAGCCTCAAAAGAGGATGATATAGCCAGTCACCAGTAAATTGTAGCTATCTACTAGTACTTAAATGACTTGCAAAAAGACCTTCAATGATTGCACACATTCCATACATACCACAAAACATTAAAAACTTATAACTCAGAAAAAGAATCACAACTTCTATAGAAAGTGCTAAATCCTTTTAAAAAGGGATATATGTTCCATACTACTACAGTAATCAGTTAAGGTTTGTAGTGAAATTTGGAAGGTTTCCGATACAAACTGTAACTACATTTATTGTGCCAAAAATATAACAATGCTACATGAGGTAAGAGACCTTTACATTTATACCTTGAAAAAGTACTGAAGTGAAAGTTTTCATTCTTCATTGTCAATTATCCCTAAAGTATTTGAAAACAGTCATTATTCATCCGAGAACTGTGTACAGACAAGTGAGGACAGATCTGAGGAAAGACCTTTTAAATTTGATTAACTTTATCAGAGAGAACATTTATCACTAAGCTGCATATCGTTATGACATCTGTTTTCACACACTGAGGACCTTTCCTTTTTAGCTATACTATTCATATCATCACAGAACTTGCAGAACTTTAAAGGTTGTCATATATTGTACTGTTTTAAAATTAAAGACATCTTGATAATGTCCCATCACCTTTTTTTATTACAGTACAACCTGTCTATAAAGACTACCCAAGGGAGACAAGAAATGTGGTCTTTGTAGACAGGTGGTCACTAAAGCAGGTTTGACTGTACCAGTATGTTAGGGCATTTTATGGAACACAGTTGTTACCAAGGAAATTATTGTTCTTCTGTTATTACTTGGGTCTTGTACCTCTAAAAGGAAGAGATACAGAAGAATTTGTCAGCTGAGGAGACATAAGGGCGTTAACGCTGTGTATGATATGAATTAACGCTCTTCTGGCTCTCAACAGATAGACATCCTACATATGAATACTCTACACATACAATCATAAATGTGATAATCCAAGAAGAAAACACAGTCTCTAACAGCCAACATAGCAGGGGGCATCACAATCATAATACTATTACACGATTGTAAAAGACTTTCAAGAAATCAACTACAGGGCGGTGGGGGGGGGGGGGCAATTTTAATACCCTAATCGTATAGCCTTTAGATATCAAATTTGGATCACATAATATGTTGCTGTAATGTTTGCACTTTTCAAAAGGTGAAGGACAAGGCTATTGATATTGAAAGTCTTTATGATCACGCTTACAATTAATGATCATTAACTTTATTACATGCATGACACTTTGAAAGTTGATAATCATTACATTACTGTTGAAAGCAAAAGTGAAAGTGAATTTATCACACAGAGTACACATGATCTCTCACTTGTGACTACGGCTGAGCTGAGCAATGTTTGCTGTAAGTGCATGTGTCATGTGTTGCAAGCAAATCAATATAATATCAGCAATGTTTGCTATTCTGAATCACCAACAAAGATTGCATCTGGTGATTAGCAGTATTTATTTACTTAATAATCAGTTACAACTGTATCAAAATACAATCTAGTGGGTGAAATTACATGAACACTTAAAATATAAAATATGTGTCATAAAATATGAAGTGATTCTAAAAGTAATTCTATACATGACCTTGAGAAAAATGCACAAGTGCAAGAGACCTTTTTTGTTCTAGAATTATCAAAATATGTTCCATGGTAAAAATCATTTCAATTACATGCTTTTTGTTTCATAGAGAATAACTCAAACACATTAAGATCACTGTTTTTCAGTATTGCTACTGCCATAACAATTGGAGGAAAAAAAAGAAAAGAAAAAAGAACCATTATAACATTTAATCATCGAAATTAAACAATTGAAAATCGTTAGCAGCATGTATAAAATTATGAGAGGAACAATATAGGCCTACATGTACAGTACATATCTCAGTATCAGCATAATAATGTCTCACTTTCTTTTTGCACATGAAAAGGAGTGTAGGGATCATATTAAGCTCAGATTCACCTCATTCTGAAAAAAAGTCCTGTACTACAATCGGAGAGAATTAGATATACTGTAGGTCCGACCACAAATGTCTACATTGTGTAGTAGTATTTATGATAATCTTGCATTTGTTCTTTCTATTGTGTTCATGGCCTTCCTAAGCTGATCTCCATACAGAAGAGGGATTTTATTGCATTTAATCTGATTACATTGAGAAGGAGGTACAACACCTCTGAGCTCAAATCTTGCCAAAAAGAGGAAGAGGATTTAGCACGCGGAATGACAACAAGAATTTGGAATATATTAAACACTTGATCACCTATGGCTATGGCTAATGTATTGTATTACCATGCCAAACTGCGTTAGAGGCACTAGATTTTTTGTACAGGAAAGAAAAATCCTCTAAATCATACCATCTGTGTTCTTAGAACCCTGTTTATAATGTATATCGATCATGTCAGTCCAAATTCACAAAATTGTCTGACAATCAACAAGGAGAATTGGGGGGGGGGGGGAGGGGGGAGTGACTCTTTCTTAAGATTTGCAGAAAAGACTCTGACAATTCATGATTGGTTGACTGTTGACAGATAATTTAGAATGGGGGTGTTACATCCCCACATACCCTTTTTATGACACCCATGCTATTATTAAAACAATTAAATTAAGTGAGTCAAATAATTATATTATTATGTTATATGCCGTTACGTAAGTCAATCATAACACGAACCACAGCAGCACTTTTATGTATATTACAAATGTAATGTACATTTGATTTTACAACCCTTTGTGAGTAGGTAGAGGCATTTGATCTTGCAGTTAACGTTGATCCAGTATAAATCACAGGGGTAGAAGAATATTTCATAATGAGAGCTGATTATTGATTTCTCCACAGCTCTCTGTTTGGCAATGCGTCCAGTGTTCACATGTAGAACAGAGGTCTCCGAGAGGAGCCATCACACACATTATATCGTCCTTGTTTTCACGAAGTGACGGTAGTGAGGAAAATCGTAACGCAAAGTGAATGCATTTTTTTTTCATTACCGTCACTTCGTGAAAACAGCGACGATATGTATGCATGAATTTCAAAGGCTTTGCTTTCAAGGGTCAGCCAACTAATGAGCGATTCCTAAATTACAGATACGCTACATCACTGGTTAAAGTGAAACAAAGATACCATCCGGTTAATATTGAAAGAACACACCGTTATCAATTCAATTGATTCTAATTTTTGGCCAGTTAATATTTTCTTTCAATTTTGTCAATGCCGAAACACACCCATGTATACACACAAGTATACTGATGAGTAATTCCTAAATTAACTGTATGCTGCATTAAATACTGGTTAAAATGAAACAAAGATGCCATCCTGTTTATAGTGAAAGAACACACCGTTTATCAATTCAATCGATTCTCATTACAGGCCAGTTAATATTTTCTTTCAATTTTATCAATGCCAAAACACACCCATGTAGATATATACGCACAAGTGTACAAGTAACCTTCTTGCATACAAGAAATTGATGAAAGCCGTAGCAACATTTAAACACACTTCAATGAAATTGTCTGTTGAGAGCCAGAAGGGAATCAGCTCCTATACGTTTACACAGATGCAATGCCTTTCTGGCTATAAACAGACAGCATCAAAATATAAACTTTGTAGCAGCGCATAAAAAGGATTTGCCTTGATCCTAACATACAAAGATACATTTTTACTCCTTTTTGGGGTGAGGTTTTACATTTTGTGAATTCATATGAAAATGACAGGTGCATAGCCTAGAGGTCAATGTCATAGAAATTATTCTGTAGGTTGTATATACACTATATTCTGGTATTCTTTCTGAACAAAATGCAGAAAAAATGACTTACAAAAATGTACATCTAGTAGGCCTTCATGTCAAGTAAACTCTGAAATGTTCTAACAAATTTATCTTAATACACCTACTAAAGTATACTCACAAGTCACAACGGCAGTCTGCCCTTGGTACCTGTATGCAAGCTCCTGTATGTATGAAACTGTATGCCCAAGTACAAGTGTAATGCAAGTGGCCTAGCTAAGAGGCTAAGAGCTGTTCAACTAATCCACTTTAATACAGAGGACCTCCCCGTGAGGCAAAGGAACCCGGCAATAAGAGGAATTACTCTACGGATCACAGTTGGAAGGAATTAAGATGGTGCGATGGCTGCTCTTCAAGCCTGAGACGTGTTTCAAGGCAAATTCACCTGCAGTTGTATACATGATGTAGCATACGGCCCTCACGCTATCCATCATAACATTTTTTGTGGAATCATGCTAGCTATTATTGTAATGGGCCGCAATATGCTGCAAACCCCACCAGCTGAATTATCCCAAAACATAATGATCCCAGTAAAAAAAGATAAGAATTGTTCAGGTGAATTTCTGGAAAAAACTATAATAAGCCAATAATATTCTCATTGCCCCAAGGTTAATGGTAGTTATTTTTTTCAGGGAAAAATATATGCTAATGTTCTCATTGCAACACGGTAAGTTCTTTTCAGTTTGATTATATCTACATATTGGTTTTTGGTTCAGGATCATTACCATATTCTTTAGCATCAAATATGTAATTCACATGAAAGTACAGGTACATTAAACTGACATGAACAAATGTACCGGTAGTGTTATTGACTGTCAGGAAGGCCTACTTCCAGCAAATCACATACTGTTCCTCTCAAACATACAAATGTTTTTGTAGACCCCACTCAAATAAGAGTGACTTGCGTACTTCTACTGAAATCGACTCTGAAAATGGTTTTCCTTGAAAATTTAGTTTTTTTTTAATAAAAAGATCAGCAAAATTGATCTCTCAGTCTTGAGCCAAGACTATGGAGTGTTAGTCATCCATGGGGACTCCCTGGTGTCAAGCCTGATTATTATTATTCTACTCAGGAAAAATGTGACCTAGTACTAACCCATCAAGATCAGAGGGTACCAGCAGCAGTGGTAAGAGCAGTCTTGCCTAGGCTACGCACGCCTGAACCTAGTTGAAGAAGCACTGACAGTTTTCCTTGTTCTTTCTGCTCTGCAGTGAACAAAACAAAAATTATGGGAGCTCATAAAAGCTCGTAAAGTGCTCTTGTAAACTGATAAAGAGCTCTGGTATTTTAATACCACTGTTAGAAAATTGAACTTTAAATCTTAAAAGAGCTCTCACAGGTAAATATTTTTTACACTGGATGGGGGAAGGGGTGGAATAAATAGAGGAGGTTGTAAGCCCCCCCCCCCCCCCCTTTCAGAGGAGAAAAATCTCTGTAAAGCCTGGTTATTTTTCTCCTAGTCTGTAAAAAATGTGACCCACTATTGACCCGTCAAGATCAGAGGTAACAACAGCAGTCTTGCCAAGGCACACCTGCACCTAATTGTGGAATCACTGATGCTTTGTCCTGTTCCTTCTACACAATATACTTTAGGGTTGGAAAAAGGATAGGGATGGTTAGCCCACCCCCTCCTTGCATTTTTTTTTCTTCAAGAACCCCATATGAAATGTTTTGCTTCCAATATATACATGTACACACAATAAGTTATGAAAAATGTATGTTTTTTTTTTCTTCAATTTTTATTTTTATCAAAACAAGGAATTTCTGGCAAGGGATTTTAATGCATAACATACATGTATATGTGGACATGCAAAATCATATCCTATTTGGCTTCGAAATATATGTAGCCTTCAAAAAATATAATTTTCACTTTCAATATTGTATGAAGGAACAAACATGTAGATGGTACCAAAAAAGTAAATTTGTGTGCAACTTGAAAATGTATTGCAGTTTGTACCAGATATAAAGTATGAACTTCTTGAGCAATGGTATTTCAGTTCCCATTAGCAGACTCATGGCCGTCTAGATTCAAAACTAATCCATATCTGCTATCATCATTTTCCTCCTATTTCCATCCTTCTATACCCGACGGCTATTTATGGAATGATAATTGACATATTTTGAGTTGATCCACGGGAAATTTTGGACTCTGACATTCTTTCCTGTCCCAGCAGCTACTGGGTGGAGTACTTTCACTCTTGGGAAGTTCAGAATTAAAGATCTGCTTTATGTAACGCATTACATTACTATAGTAGACGATAGGCCCTGTTCACATAATTCTGTAACGTAACACACTGCTGTCATAGACGGTAGGCCCCGTTCACATAAATCACATCGGTTCAATCTGAGGCTAGTAGGGTGTGTTCTCATACCAGCAGCTACTGGGCAAGGTTCTTCCATTCCCCTTTATACAAGTGGGAAGTTCAGAATTAAACTAGATCTACTTCATGTAACACATTACATTACTGTAGTAGAGGGTAGGCCCTGTTCACATACAGTAATTCACATCGGTTCAGTCTGAGGCTAGTAGGATGTGTTCTCACACCAGCAGTTACTGGGCAGAGTGCTTTCATCCTCTTTGATATGTGTAAGTGGTAAGTTCAGAATTAAAGATCTGCTTCACGTAACACATTACATTATTATAGTAGACGGTAGGCCTTGTTCACATAATTCACACCAGTTCAGTCTGAGGCTAGTAGGATGTGTTCTCACACCAGCAACTACTGGGCAGGGTGCTTTCACCCCCCTTGATACGTGTAAGTGGAAAGTTCAGCTTTAAAGATGTGCTTCATGTAACGTAACACGTTACCATCATAGCCGCTAAGCCCTGTTCATATAATTTGCACCAGTTCTGTCTGAAGAGATATTCTTATTAGGGGTAGAAGAGGAGTAAATCTGGATTCAGTCCATACTATTAAAGTAAATACATGTATGCACATGCTGTCGCCATCTCATGATCCGCAATTGGTGCAGACTTCTTGATCTGCCTCAAGAATAAGATTCATTCCGTAATATAAATGCTACTTTTTTGTAGAGCTCTATGGCATGTATGTCTGCAAACCCTGCCTCATATTTTGAAATTCTCACATCGTTTCATAAACATTCTAAGGAACTATCTAGGTCATTCCATTAATTTCCACTCTCTCTGCCAGAATTCTACATTTAAATTTAGTGTCCAACTAAAACTAAGCCTCCAACCTGACTGTATGGGTTTTTTAATGATATTAATATGAAATACTTGTTATCATCATTACCATACTACCCGTTTCCCTATCTGATATTATGCAAACACTCATAAATGCTGATCAAACATATTTTGACCCAAGCGTTGGTAATTGCTAGGCAATTTTGTTTTTATGGAGACTGAATGGGAAGCCACAATGGAAATAATAAAGTACATGTACACTGTACATATTTCATCATCTGTGGTCGATTTGTTGTTAGACACCTACATGCATTTTTTAAGGTTTACCAAGTAGAAAATAAACCTTAAAAATAACATTAAAAAACATCAACAATTTATTTTTGAATATTACTAGAAGCAATGCAATGATGTAATAAAATATATTAAAACCACAAACACTTTAACATGGTCAAATATTTAACAAATGGATGGAAATATTATAAAGGTCTAGATGGATATTACTGTTAATTAAAGTTCTTTTCCTAGAAGTAAAAGGCTTGTGGCATGAAGTAAAAGAGTGCGACATGTGGTTTTAAACAATACCGGTATCCTAAAAGTGGTATCCATATCAAAATTCTGCGAGTTTGTAAGCGCTATGGTACTTTTTGTTTGTAGTGCTTCTAAATAATAAATGTTATTCATGATGATGTTGTAGTTGCTGATTAAGCTGTTGTTGTTATTATTATTATCAATATTATCATATTAAACTTATAATTTGGCTTGAGACAAATCTATTCTACATCAACTGTGTATATAAATCTAGAATACAAGGGCTACACAACTGTCTGGTTTATAAAACAGAGTACAGACCTACAAATGTAAAATACACACTTAATAAAAGTGAGCCACATTTGGACTCAAGCATGTACATTTCAGTTTTTCTCCTAAAATACTGTTATCTTAAAATGTTTTTCCCTATCGGTTTTGTCCAAAAGGAAGTACTTCAACCATACGGTTATTTGTCTGCCTCCCACTCCTACTGTATGTCTAGCCAGCTACATAGGACAAAAGTCAGCGGTCGACTGGACAATGAACTGGTCATTCAATATGCATGTCTACACATGGTGGAAGAGGTAGGAAAGGGAAAGTCAAAACACCTCTTTGAAAAGTACCATTAGTGAAAAAAATGCAAACAAGTGGGGAACACTTAAGCTATAGAAAAGCTCCAAAGAGTTCAGTAGAACTTTTTTCTAAAAAGCTCTAGTGAAGGAAAAAAAACATGACATTTCTGAGAGAAAATCAATTAGAATTCCTGTGAATGCAAAGTAATTGATACATTAGGCGGTGTCGCACAGAAAAATCCCTTAAAAAAATCCCTTGAAAAATCCTTTTAAGGGAGAATTTTCTTGCTTCGTTAGAGGATTTTTGAAGGGATAACTGATGACAGACAGCAATTAAGAGGATAACTAAAATCTGGATAACTAAAATTCTGATTTTTGGCCTCTGTGTGACACCGCCTATTTGGTTCAAAATGCGAAAAAATATACATACAACTAATATAAAAATGTAAGTACAGCAGTAATATGCTGAACATTTTGAGTGAATTGTGAAATATACATCTTTAGATGTGGCCCTCAAATAAAAAAATTGTATTATAACCTGAAGTACGATATAAGATATTTTGCGTCTCTCACAACTACACTACTGTATACTTACAGATGTATGTTACACTGAATGTTCAGAATTGAAGTATTAGATCCTGTTGTAATCGTCAGCCTAATAAACAAGGAGTAAACAGTTTCTCTCAAACATTTAGCCGTTTCCTCCTGCTGGAAAACAAGTCCGTTTGGAACCTCCTGCTTGGTGGACGATCGTGCAATTTAAAACGTGTGTTTACCCGAGTTGAGTTTTCCACAATGATTTATATCTGCCTTTATAGGCATTCTAACCACAACCCAATTCTACACCACATATGATCCACCGACATATCGTTCTCACTGTTATTAATTTGTGTCAACACGTACCGATAGGTGTGTTATTTGTGGTGTACAACCCTAATTTTACATGTTTTCATTATCTATTGTGAAGGATTGGATCCATTATAAAGAAAAAAAAGAGACTCAGTAGAAAAAGCTTCGGCAGAAGGAACACTGTCATTGTCTGGTAGTAAATCTTTGTGATTATCTTCACCTTTGACAGAAAATCTGACCTCCGAGAATTGGGTCACAACGATAAAAAAAACTTGTATGTCAGGGTGAGTGACTTGAAGAGCTTCAATCTGAGGCAACGTACTAATGAAGAATGGAGAGAAAGAGTGAACTTGGTGAAAATATGCTTTTGTTCATAGGAGTGAATTTCATATTTTGTATGCCAAAAAGGTTGCCCCTGAAAATATTTTGAAGTATCTTACATGTATAGTTAATTGCCCTCGGTTTCAATCCTTTTCACTGGATGAACTCATGAACCCAAATATGTGGCCTATATGTGAAACAAAGCAACTGGGACCAAAACATTTCTACATAATTGTTCAATTATTATCTCTTTTAGATCAAGTTTTTGGCAAAATTG